AGCTTTGCAATAAAAGTATAACCGTTCCTGAATGCGTGTTCTTCGTTTATAGCTGTGGGTTCTGACACTAATCTGTCACTTCTTGCACTCCGGTCTGAAAGGGCAACACGCTTTGGAATAAGTGGTATATCCCACCCTTCCTCCAGGGCAGTCCAGGAAGAGCCTCAGGGTTATCTTCTAAGAACCTTTTCTTGTAAGAACCTCCTATCAATTCCTGCCTATGAACAGTGCAAGCTCAGAAATGCTGAATACAAAAGCTCAGAAATGCTGAATACAAAAGAAACCATCCTTCTGCAATCCTCAAAAAAGCATTCTCATTGAGATTTTGCAGTATTATTAGTTATTGTAGATTTTCTGGGCTGTGTGGCCGTGGTCTTGGCATTGTAGTACCTGACATTTCGCCAGCAGCTGTGACTGGCATCCTCAGAGGTACAACACAGAAAGAGGGAGTACTCTCCGTGTCAATTTCATACTGCCTGGAAAATCTACAGCTAATGAACTCCAGCTGTGAAAGCCTTCGACAACATATTTTGCAGTATGTTTACTAGGCACTGCTGAGGCCACGTTCATCTCCATTTCCAAGCTGAAGAGCCAGCGCTGTCCGAAGACATTTCTGTGGTCATGTGGCCGGCATGACTAAACACCAAGGCGCACAGAATGCTGTTACCTTCCCACCGAAGTGGTACCTATTTATCTACTTGCAGTTTCTTGCTTTCAAACTGCTAGGTTGGCAGGAGCTGGAACTAGAGATGGGAGCTCACTCCATCATGCGGCACTACGGTCTCAAATTGCTGAAATACAGACCTTCCAGCCTGCAGCTCAGCATCTTAACCACTGAGCCACTACAGCCCCTAATTTAATATATACAATTATTTAAATAGAATCAAGCAATTTGTTGATTGAAAGCCAAATAACCAATAGTAAAACAGGGCTGTTCCACCAGGCCTATGGCCAGCACTCCGGACTGTGCAGAATAACGTCCACTCGATGGGCCCTCTTCCTGCTTCTTCTCTTGTGGAGAGGTTTTGAGGTGGTCAAAGCTTTCCCCGGATGAATTTGCGTTGTTCATGTTACCATCTGCCTATTGTAATTTCTGTCTTAAAATTTTTTGACTGTGTCCTTTAACTGTGACTTATAATTTAAAGTGTTTTAATTGGTTTATGATTGTATTATAAATTTGTTGTTAGTCGCCCTGAGGCCTGCAGTAGCAGGGGGGGGCGTGTCAAAAATTGAATGAAATAAAAATAAAAATTATTGGTTCAACAGCCCTATCAGCTCATCCATGCAAGGTTATAACTTCCACAACTACCTCTCTGACCCCTACCAAAGTCTGGCCACATCAAATGATCAAAGGACTGAATTCTCACAATTTAGCGTACATCAGTCTCCAGTTCTGACATATTTATTATCTATGTTGTCCCCCACGAAACAGATGACAGCCAGAAGCCAAGCTTGTCATTCTTTTTATCTGTTAAAAAACACTTCAGTATTTCGCATGCTAATTTAACAAGCCACCTTGTATAGATACAAATATAATCTGTAATTCTATTTCGTCATCTACTGAAGTGTGCCTGCACACGAAAGCTCACACCTTGAATAAAACTCTGCAGTTTGTTCCATATCTCCTACTGATCTTTCATTTTTTTGCTGCTGCCTAGCCAATCCCTACCCTCCAGCACCCCCTAGTGGTACATGTTGGGCATCTCGGTCACCCCAACAGTCTCTCCAGTACTATAAATTGGGGGGGGGGGTGGATTTGGAAACTGCACAGGGCACTGAAGTAGGTGCAGCTATGACAGTAAGTAATGTGAAATCGAAAGAAGTAGCTCATCCTTGCAAAGCAAGGGTGATTGTGTCCTGAACTCTTGAGCCTGGAGAGGAGAGCACTTTGAACCAAGTTGAACCGCCTTGAGCCAAGAAGAACAAATATTAAAAAATAAACAAGCAATCGGTAAATCCAGGCCCATAAAATTGTGCACATATTGTCTTTTGGTGGGCTATTACCTCTCCCCCAGTTGTACTATCTTGCTCTAGGTTGCATTAGAGGTAGATTCTGGCAAGCTTGTAGCTCTCTAGAGGCGAGTGAAACAATTATGTAAGATGTGAGGATGCCCTGAAAAGCACTGGTCTGTGTATGAATCAGATTTAAAGGCAAGTATCAGAGCAGCAGCTCTGTGGCAGGAAGCAGGGTGGCCATGGGGTGATTCAAGGGTCCCTAGTTAACCCCATGCATGGTGTGTGTGGGGGGGAAGGAAATGACAAGGCACCGAGGAAGAAACGAATTTCCCTAGATCCCCATCTCTGACGGCGCCAGTGGCAGCTTCTTCTGTGTCCGTGGAATGGATGCCGGCCTTTGCCGTGCAATGCCCTGGGAAAGGGCTATGTTCTTAATCCTCTGGCTGAACAGATACATTGTTCTGAGGGTGAAAGGAAAATGGCCTGTCAGGGCCTTGTCTATTGTGCCCCTCGGCTGCTAAGCAAACATGCTCAGTGTTTTCCATTGTTGACCTCCAGCAAGGGAGGCATCTCACCACGATGGCTGAGAGGAATGGACAGCGGGGACTGACCTGGGTGGCTTCTCCGCCCCGCAGCTGCTGCTGCTGACTCAGCACAATCCATTGGTGCACATTCATTGGACACTTGGCCAGTCCTGGCTATATAATGCTGCCGAGACCCTCCCCCTCCACAGCCAAGCGCAGTTACTCTTGCCTCTGTGCCTTGCAAGCCAGGTAAGTGCCGGGAGCCTGCCTCCAAACAGGCCCCTCATGGGCTCACTCTGGTTATCTTGCTATACGAAGGACTCAGCTTCTCAGAGAGTGTCCTGGTCTTGTCTGACAGATTGGGTAGGGGTCTCTCTCTGAACCCTTGCAGGGCCAGCCAGCAAGTGGTTGCACAGGGCAAGAGGAGGATCAGCACATCCCCTAGTAGCTTGGTTGACTTCCGTAAGCCATTTGGAGATCTTTGCTCTGTAATCATAATTGGGTTTTTTTTGGGGGAGGGGGGTTTCGCACTGCTTTCTGCTTGTGACTTACTATGTTTGGGATTGCATTGATTGATTGGTGAGTGGATAGTCCTACTTTGGGGCAGAAGGTGGAATCAGAGGGCTCTTTGATTCCCGTCTACCTCCGTCACATGGCTTGCATTTGCAACTGTGATCAGTGTTCCCTCTAAGCTGAGTTAAGGTGAGTTAGCTCAGTTTCTTAGCTTCTGGCTCAGACGTTTTCCTCTCAGCTCAGGAAGGAGGGCTCCAGATTAAACTGATTTATGCAGTAGCCACATTGCCCGCTCACAACTTTTAATGCCAGTGGCTCGCAAAGTAGAATTTTCCCTCACAAGACTTCACAGCTTAGAGGGACCATTGACTGCGATATGCGTGAATCAGTTGGAATGCATTGACAGAGACATGGGAAAGAGGGGATACAGAGCACATGCCAGGTTAGGACTGAGGGGCAGTGTTCCCTCTAAGATGAGTTCGTGTGAGCTAGCTTGCAGTTTTTAAGCCTTTGGCTCACACCTTTTTGTCTTCGCTCAGGAAGGATGGCTCCAGAGCAAACTAACTGATGCAGTAGCCAAATCACCTACTCACAACTTTAATGCCAGTAGCTCACAAAGTAGAATTTTTGCTCACAAGACTCCACTGCTTAGAGGGAGCATTGCTGAGGGACATCGGAAAATGTCATTGTTGGGTTTGGGGCATTTTGGTATTTACATGAAAGATGACAATGATAGTTCTCTAAATTCTTATTGGGCTAGACTGGGTCACTTGACGTTCTGAATTGCCGTTCACTACAAATCCAGGAAACTGCTGATTGTCTATATATCTCACCCTCTTCTAGAAAAATAGATTGGGCCTTTGGGATCTGTGATTCTATGATGATATTGCAACACTTAGTAAAATGCAGGTGAAAGGAAGGACAGCAATGAGACTCGTGGCTGGGGAGAGGCTAGGCCCTAAGACATCTTGGCTCCTGAGCGAGAAAATCCAAAGGAACTGAACAGTTGACAGCTGGCTGTAAATGTGCTGTTTTCAATGGTATCCTGATGCCTGCTCCTTGAAATGAGCTATCTCACCCCTGTCTAGCAGTACAGTTGCCTTTGCTGGTGTGGTGGTGGTGAGAATTGGGAGGGAAATGATGCAAAGCTTCATCTGGTATCAAATTCAGTAATCTGTGCAGAACATTCATTGTCCGCTTCTGAACTTCATTTGCATGCCTCTGGTCAGGTGCCCCATTGTATGGGCTGATCATGGGGAAAGCGGTACTAGAAGAAGGTGATCAGAAGGAAGAGGGATGGCTGAAAAGGAAGGCCATGGTCTCTTCTACCTCAGGGAACCTAATCCATCCCCTGCCATCCTGCTCAGCACCTGATAATTTTGATTGCTCTCCCGGTGCTTTGCCTGCCAGAGGAGTCCTAACCTGAATTCTAGGAGATCGGGATTATGTACATTTCTCTGCTTAGAAAGCTTGCATGGTGCATCCTAGCCAATATTTATTGAGGTGGGTGTTCTTTCGCCATCACACTGTGGGCAGAACAGGACGGAGCGATCCCCCCACATAGTATTGCCAGTTGCTCAAGGCTGAGTACTAAACATTAGATTAGATTTTTTCCACAGAAGATTAAACCAAGAGTTCAGTGACACCTTAAAGACTAGCAAAATTTGTTCTAACATACGCTTTCGTAGGAGATTTGGTATTTCAGCATTTAGGTTGGAATAAATTCTGTTATACGAACATTTATATTATACATTCTGTTATACGAACTGTTATTATGGAATAAATACGAACATGAAATTGAGCAAAATTGAGCAAACTTCAGAGGACAGCGGAAGACAGGAGGGCCTGGCGGGAGCTGGTCCATGGGGTCGCAAAGAGTCGGACTCGACTGTGCGACTGAACAACAACAACAAATTCTGTTAATGTTTAAATTGCCATTCAAAAAATGCTTTATTCTGTTGCTGTAGCCTAACATCTGGGATTATTTTCATAACAGGAGAGTTGCCCATGACTACCCACCACATGGAGACTCTGGGTCATTTCAAGATCACCGTCTGGGAGGAAGAAAACTTCCAGGGGAAGCGCTGCGAGTTTGTGATGGAATGTTCCAGCATCATGGAACGAGGCTTCCGCAAGATCCGCTCTCTCAAGGTGGAAAGTGGCCCGTAAGTGCCTCCAGCCAACTATAGGTTTCCTGGGCTGCCCCATGACAAAACTAGTCATTTTCTGTCCCTCAGTCTCCATCTGCAGCCACCAGGAATGCTCCTTCCCCCCCTACTCTGGATTCAGCCCCAACCAAGGCTTTGCCATCTAGTTCTCTCTGATGGGGAGGGGGTGTCTCTGGGCTGTTGTTACATACTTTTTCCCAGGGCTGCTGCTGTCGGCCTACCTGTGTCTCAAAGAGAGATAAGGAAAATATTAGAAAAGCAAAAAGGGAATTGTCATGGATACCAATAGAGCCCTCGCCTGATACTGCCAGTCAGGACAGCACTGGGGCAGTGGAACTGGCTTTACCTCTGGGATCCTGGTTCACATGGCGGTCTCTCCTGATGCTGGCTGCAATCCTTTGCCTGTTGCCCGGCCCTTCCACGTCTCCAACTCACCAGGCTACCTTAAGCATCGAAGAACAGAGTAGCATGTATGTTTTTATGTCTGATGAAACAGATCATGGTAATTCCAATAATTCTGAATTAGTTGGTAATATATTAGTTAGCGTTACAGCCAAAGATCGAAAGTCAGCAGATGCATTTGATAGGAAAGCTTAGCTGTGCACCTCCACAGGAGAGACAAAAGTATATTCATTTAACGTAGCAAGGCTGACTTTGTGTTAAAGCTTTAGTGGTGTGATCAGGGGGCATGTTAACAGGGGCCTGAACCAGGATACATTTTTTGTAATAAGAAAGAAATGAAAAACATTCAAGAGGACACTGTCTTCACTGTAACCTGCCTCATGCCAGCTTCAGATGAATCAAAAGGCACCTGTATTGAGGTTATGGGGAAATGCAAATAAATTAGAGCAAGCCAGTGTTAGAGGTTGTGGTTGGAGTGATAGACGCCGGAGTTCAAATCCCTGCCTAGTCAGAAACTTTATCGGGTGACTTTGAGCCAGTCAGTACAGGGTTGTTTTGGGTGTGGAAAATTACAAATAATATTTAAATAGAACAAATTAATCATTTGAATTTAAATCAATTGATTGATTTGACAACTTGAATCATTTGACTGATGGAGTTTTAGATGTTTCCAGGAGCACATAACCCACACGCCTTTTGTAAGAATATGAGATTTATCACTTAAATATTTGAATAATATCTTTGTAGACTGGGAGGTCCCTGTATTTTTTTAAATAAACAGTCAGTTTAAAAAGGAGTTGCAGAGAAGAGAGATTTTCACCACACATGGCTTTTCCTGTCAGAGAATTGCAGCAAAGGGAAATGGCGCCTAGTGGGATTGTTCTTTCTATTTAGCTCTTGAAGATACCGATACATCTGGAAGGTACAGTAATGTGTTTCCTCTTCTTTAAGCAATGCATGCAGAGTTCAGCTTAAAAAGAAACTTGTTGGTGGATTCAACTATTAACACTTGGGTTCCAGTTCACTTCTGGCTGCTGATCCCTCTCTCAAGGCCTGAGAGGAGACATGCATACTATCCTGAGCATCTCTGAGGGAGAGAGCATGTTAAAAAGTCAGTTAAAAGGGGGCGGGGAGGAGGTTATAATCTGGAGAACCCACGCCAAGAAACTGCTACCTTAGTGACAGGATAGGCAGTGGGAAGCCCTGCATGGGGCCTTGCCTGTCTTCCCCCAGCCATAGAGGGGGTTGTTGTTGTTGTTGTTGTTGTTGTTGCAGAATCTGATTTGCATTTCAGAACTTGCAGCGTCCAGAGCTCATTGTCTTCTCACTCTCCTCCCCCCCTCCCACCACCCAATTCTCCTGCAGCTGGGTGGGATTTGAGTATCCTGAATACCAAGGACAGCAGTTCATCTTGGAGAAAGGGGACTACCCCCGTTGGGAGGCCTGGAGTGGAAACAGTGCTTACCGGACTGAACACCTGCTCTCTTTTCGAGCTATCAAGTGTGCCGTGAGTTCAGTGTGTTTTCCCTACCTCTTAAACACACCTGTATGGGACTTTCTGGATCCTCCTTTCAATTGGAAAGGAAGACCCCCCCTGATCTGCTTCCAGTGATCTTCCAGAGAGCAGGAAGTAAAGCGAACCAAAAGGGTTTGGTAAGGGTTTCGGACAAATGGAGCCCCAAATGGTGAGGGCCAATGGGCAAACGCCATCCTACGTTGATCAGCCAGCCAGCCTTTGGAAAACATCGGCCTAATAAAAAGCCACCTCTGGAATATATTAGTTTCATTTGCTTATCATAAACTATATAGAAGCATGACAGGAAACCTGTCAAGGACAAAGGAAGTTAAAATGAAATTGCTGGAGGGAGTGAAATTAGCTACCCAAAAATGAAATTAACAGGGTCACTGACAAGTTGACATCCTGCAGATGCAAAATAGGTGATGCTTTTTACTGGGGAAACTGCAGTTGGAACAGGAGTAAACAAGCCTTTGAATTACACAGAGTGCATAATCAGAACTCTGTAGGCTATTGAGAAATTCTGTTAGTTGAATACCCTGCACAGAAGTTATGGCCATTGGCCTGTCAGACCTGTCACGGGGGTGTGTGTGTCCTACTTGTTCTGGAATGGAGGGGGAGAATGTAGCTGGAAGGGCCAGGGGGAGGAAGGCATTAGAGAGGTTACACCTACCTAATTTCTTACACTATTAAGGAGTTTAATGGTGGTTATGACTTGACCAATCTGAGGAGGCAGGCAATTAATTATATAGTGGGAAAGAAAAAGAAAAATGCTATTACCGCCCCATTCAGCCTAGTGACCTACTGTGAAGGAGACTGGCTTTAAAAAAACAGAGCAAATGCTTTGCATGTCTGTAGGTACCTCAGTGGTCGAGCATCTGCTTTGCCGGTAGGAGGCCCCAGGTTCAGTCACCAGCATCTCCAGTCAAAAGCATCAGCCAGGAGGTGACCTCTGCCTGAGACCCTGGAGGACCCTTGCCAGGCAGACTAGAAGCCAAGGGGCCACGTGTCAGTGGTAGAGCATCTGCTCTGCATACAGAAGGTCCCAGGCTACATTTCCAATTTAAAGGGTCAAGTAACATGTGATGTGAAAATCCTCTACTGGAGACTCTGGACAGCTGCTGCCAGTCAGAGCAGGCAATACTGACCTAGCTAGACCACTACTCTGACTCAATATAAGGAAGTTCCCTGCACTCATGTAAGTCAGAATGGCTAGGTTCAGATTTAGGCTTGCCAACTGCCTGGAGGAAATAAATGTCCTATCCCTTTAATAGAGGCTTAATAGGATGTTATTTTCCAGATAATGCTATTTACCTCCCTGCCATGGAAAGCTTCAGCTGCCCATTCTCACACCTTAAGCCTCTATTAAAGGGAGAGCTATATTAAAGGAGCTGTGGTGGCTCAAGTGGTTAAGACACTGAACTGCAGGCTGTGGAAGGTCAGTAGTTCAGCAGTTCGAGACCCAGGTGCCGCATGATGGAGTGAGCTCCCGTCTCTAGTTCCAGTTCCTGCCAACCTAGCAGTTCGAAAGCAAAACATTGCAAATAGATATATAGGTACCACTTCGGTGGGAAGGTAACAGCGTTCCGTGCGCCTCGGTGTTTAGTCATGCCGGCCACATGACCACGGAAACGTCTTCGGACAGCGCTGGCCCTTCGGCTTTGAAATGGAGATGAGCATCGCAACCCTAGAGTCGGACTCGACTGGCTTTCGAGCAAGGGAACCTTTTGTTGTTGTTCAGTCGCACAGTCGAGTCCGACTCTTCGCGACCCCATGGGGACAGGACATTTTCCTCCAGGCTTGCAGAGGACTCCTGTCATTTTAAAGAGTGAAATGGAAGTAAAAGATCTGGGTTCTCTCCCATCATCTGCAGTGACAGGAGAATTTCCCCCTCAAGATAACTCTGAAAGGTACAGGATCCCTTTTGGGGTCTGAACTGGCCATACTAACCTGAATGATGATGCAGACAGTAGAACTGCCCAGTTAGAGGCGAATGCTGCACTGTCTCCCAGTCCCACCAGCTTGTGACTGAAGTGGGAAAAGAGTGTGATGGAAGGGAATGGAGAGAGTCACAGAAATGGGAATACCTATTATGTGGTGCATTTTGACCACCTCCTGAAAACTGAGGTTATGCAGAGCTCAAATTACACTGCATACGTGGAACCTTTTGGAGACAAGAATGCAGAGTGGGTAGCATTTTCAGGAATTATGCATCCATCTTAGCCCAGCCTTGGAGAGATAAGGGAGACAGTTAGGTAAGGTTACCTCCTGGCCTTTGGAAGATGGGAGAACCTCAATGGAAGGTGCAAAGAAAGCAATTTATAAATCTGCATATATTAAAAAGATGTCAGATGCAAATCAAGAAGCAATGCAAGGGAGTGTTTATTGGGGCAGAAAATTGTTTTATTCATTGACAGAAGAGTCCAGGACCAGCTGAGGTGTGGGGAAGGAAGAGGACAAGAAGAAGGAAGGGAGCAGCATGTGACAGTCAATCTGGACATAATCTATCACACCCTTTGCAAAGAGGCTATAACTGGTGGGGCATATCGCTCCATCTCAGGAGCGGCTGCTTCTGTTTCTCACCAGGGTTGAAAATCTCTGCACGTCCCCAGCTCTAGGCTTTAATAACAAGCAGTCAGATTACGCCCGCACTTTAATAAAGGGGTGTGAGATACCATCTCGTTTCTGGCTGGCGGGATGGCTTGGCTGAACGCAGGCTGCAGGAATGGGTGACGGGAGGGAGGGAGGGAGAGGCAGCTGTGCCCAGTTTCAGATGTAAGTTGAACAATGTAACCCTTTCAGTCCAGGAATAACAGCAGTCTACAAATCCAGATCACTTGGAAAGGTGGGAGGACTCGTCTCTTATGGTCATAGCATTTCAAGCCTTTTTCCCCTGCTTTCTTGGGGCCATGGACACCTGAGAGCACACGTGGAGGGATTTAACCATCGTCCACCACAAGTATTTGGCAGGTGCATGAGAGAATGAAGGCCCCTAAGGAAAGTCCAGTGGTCGTATCCTTAAGCCAGACACCAGAATGACTGGGTGGCCTCATATGCACCAACAGTGATCTAGAGGCAAAGGATTCCAGGGTGGAAAGGGTATAGGAGTCTCTGAGAGCAGGAGACCTTTGCATGGCTAAGAGGGTGGAGGAGTGAAAAATCCAAGGCTGCAGGCAAGGTTACAATGGGAGCTGTGGGCAGGAAAAAAATGGTAAGCAAGGCCAGAATGGGTGAATAACAAAGGGGGGGGGGCGGGAATTCTGATTGGTGCAGATTGTTGTGAAGGAAAACCGTACTTGCTAAAACTTGCTCTTCTGTTTACGTACTTCATTTGTGGTCTGCCTTTCTCACTGGCATGCAAGGTAGATTACAAACTCTCAAAAAGAATTTGATCAAGACAACATAAAATATCCAATTAACAATGCAGTAGGACTAGAATTACAGAGCTGCAAACCAACCAACAAATGAGGAAGAAACCTGTCTAAGGCATGAGATACCAAAATGCAGAAAGTGGGTTACAAAGGTAGAAGATAATGCAGTAAAAGCAAGTTCTGTCCTTTGCACATAGTAATAACAAATACTTCTGCTAACTGGGCAGTGAAACAGCGGAGGGAAGCTAACAAGAGCCAATGGTAAAGGAGAGCTGAATGAGGAGAACAGAGGAAGTGGAGAGGTATCCAATGCAGCTCTTCAGTGTTAAGGGGCCAGTGCTCATTCTCTCTGTTTTGCTTCCTTGGGGCTTTAGATTCCTGCCCGTCCATCTCTTCTCCTTATTAAATGGGGACTCTGTCCGCCTTAACAGGCGTTTACTGACTCATTTGCTCATCCTACTGTCCATTCTTGATGGCTAAGATTGTCAGATCAGAATGAAGGGACATTCTGAGGGCACTTTGAGAAAGGCTTTCCCTATGTCATGTGGAATTCTGCTTTAGGTATGGTAGCTAAACAGAACTTTCATGCATAGAGGAAATAGAACAACTATCAGAGGATGGGGACAGGCAGTGGCAACCATTCTGCAACTCTACTTATGAACTTCTAGATCAGGGGCGTTCAACCCCTGAGGGCACTTTCAGAGTTTTGAAAATGGGTCGTGGGTGCAATAACAAAATGGCTGCTATGGGGTTTGGAGCCAATCAAAAAACATTGGGAAGCTTTGCAAAATGTTGGGAAGTTCCAGGCCAAGTGTCCTCCTATAACCGAGGCAGCTGCCTTCCAACATGTGCTCCAGGCAGGCACAAAAGTGGTGTGTTCTTCTAAGGCACCTCCTGCCCCAGTGAAGTGCAGGAATGTCTATTTGCTTTGGGGAAGGAATACTTTATAAAAGAAGCAACTGGGTGATCAGTGTTGGAGGTCAGGGTTCTAGAGGCATCTGGCTGGTTGCTGTGAGAATGTCTGATAAAAAAAAATGGTCTGATCCAGTGAGGCAAATCTTGTGTTGTGCTATTCTAAAATAAAGGATAAGCTTTCAAACATGGGACATCTCTTAAATGGGGGGGAGGGGGAGACCAAAGAAACACAAATCAAAGTGACCCCCGCTACTCCGTGCATGGCACCAGGCTGAGTGGGGAAGCAGAGAGGGTCGGCAGCCAGTAGCTTATACTATGGGAGTTGTAATATGATCCTTCCTTCCTCCCTTGCCCTGTGAATGCAGATGCATTAATATCTCAGCATGTAAGGAGAGGTTAGATGTACAGTGAGATGGGACCAAGACCCAGGGGTGGGGGACTGAGAGGAAGAGACGGGAAATTTAATTGTAGGTGGAGCATGAATGGATTTTGCTTAGGTTGACATTCCCACACTGATTCACTCTCCACTTCACCCCACATGGCAGAGCCACAGTGACAGCAAAGTGACCCTATATGAGGGCGAGAACTTCCAAGGACGCAAGTTTGAGCTCAGCGATGACTACCCATCCCTGCAGGCCATGGGCTGGAGCACCAAGGAAGTGGGCTCCATCAAGGTCATCTCTGGAGCGTAAGTGAAACCTTCTGGGCTGGAGGCTCGGTTGGGAAGGCTTTGGATTTAGTGGTCAGACTTTCCCATTCCTCACTCTTACCTGTCCAAGAGTACCAATGAGCATTGTTGGCTGAATTGTGAGAAAGCACGAATGGCCTGGACTGCCATTATTAATTAAATTAAATAGTGTCACTAACATATATGGTCCTTCAGAGAACACAAAACCCAAAAAGGTTGCCCAAAGTCAGGGGAAACAGGTAGAAGAAGAAGATATTGGATTTATACCCCGCCCTTCACTCCCCAAAGGTGTCTCAGAGTGGCTTACAAACTCCTTTCCCTTCCCCTCCCCACAACAGACACCCTGTGAGGTAGGCGGGGCTGAGAGAGCTCTGACAGGAACTGCTCTTTTTCAAGGACAGCTCTTATCAGAACTAGGGCTTGCCCAAGGTCATCCAGCCAGGTACAAGTGGAGGAGAGGGGAATCAAACCCAGTTCTCCCAGATTAGAGTCTGTGCACTTAACCACTACACCAAAGGCAAAGGAAGGCTATGTACAAGTGGGGTGGGCTTTGAAAGAAGAGAAAGTTGTTCAGCACATAAATGTCCAGAAAGGGAGTCTCAAGTCAAGAGGAAGAAAGAGAGAAAAAGACAAGATACCCTCAAGTGGCTGTGGGTATTTTGGGCTGTAAGAGTGAAAAAAATCATGGCTGATTTGGGGAACTGGAAGAAAAACAGAGGTGGGGAGATCAGTGGAGTTCTTCAGAAGCAAGAACAAGACGATTTTTCATTATCCTTCTGTCACTCTCTGATACTCAATAATTTTTTGGAAACGGATGCAGCTCCTGCTTCAGGTTCTTGGAACTAAAGGGGGAGGGGGAGCGGCCGCTGAACAGGCACCCTTCCCGGAGCCTGCTGCCTGATGATCCCCATCCTCATCCCACAACAGAGCGCCAAATGCGCACTCTTTAAACACACTTGGGTTAGAATCAGGTAGTAATTTAACGAGACAGAGTGGTATGAGAGATGCATTGTTTCCTACAATTTATAGACACATTTCTTTTGTCCCAGCATTGCTTTTGGCCAAACAGGCTTTGCATATTTTTGAAACAATACCCCCCCCAAAAAAAACCCACCCCTGCCAAACGACTGTAATAGATACAAAAGTAGGTTGAGCATATGCAACAAAAGGAAGGATCTTCCAAACCATAGGCTCACTCTGCTTCTATCTGGGGTGCTCTTGCCCTTTGCTTGTGGCATCAGGTAGAAGAAGAAGAAGAGAAGAGGAGATTGGATTTATACCTCCCCCTTCACTACCCAAAGGTGTCTCAGAACGGCTCACAAACTCCTTTCCCTTCCCCTCCCCACAACAGACACCCTGTGAGGTAGGTGGGGTTGAGAGAGCTCTTGACAGAAACTGCTCTTTTTCATGGACAGCTCTGATCAGAACTACGGCTTGCCCAATGTCATCCAGCCAGGTGCCAGTGGAGGAGTGGGGAATCAAACCCGATTCTCCCAGATTAGAGTCCGCGCACTTCACCACTACACCAAACTGGCTCTCACTTTGAATTGTGCACGTTGCTCTGTGGAAGTCTAATGAGCAGAGAGTCTGAGCTTTTAGTCATGGCCTTGGAGTCTTTGGGGCAATCTAGCACTGCTACTCTGTGACTCTAGCATGCCTCCTCCCACAAGCATAATTGCCCTTACCTTAGGAGAAGTGTTGCTGTTTTTAAACCTGTGGCACACTGTTGTGAAAACTTCCATTATATCCGAACACTTATAGCCACTTATACCCACGTATACAAAACGTAACGCAAAGGCTACAGGTGTGGTCTCAGCCTGTGTTTGCACATCTGCACCACAGTCATTTATTTAACAATGCATTTATGCAATGATATCTGATTGAAGTAAAATGGTTAGCATTCACGATTGCACAAGGAGCGTAGTGTGTATAGTCCAACTGCCCGTGCAACGCTCCTTCAGTGAAAGGAACAATGTGAAGCTAGATGAGTACCTTTATGTCCCCTTTCCTTTGCACAGACAAAAAACCATGTGGGAAACGGCTTCTCTCATGTGTGATCCTCACTTGGCTGCAGCATTTATGTAAATACTGCAAGGACTTGGACAGGGCTGATCCCAAGGGTCTTTCCCATTTAATAACACTTTTCCTTTGTTAGAGAGAAGCTGCCCCACAAGCCCCTTGTGTCTTTGTGCCCCAAACCCATCTGAGGTTTGGCACTCTGAATAGAGATTCAGTAGTAATGGTGCACTGTTCTATCCCTTTCTCCACGAAGGACCGAGTGGAGGGCTGGGACTACCTGTTTTGCCAATGCTCTGCTTTGTTGCCTTAGGTGGGTGGCATACCAGTATCCAGGCTACCGGGGCTACCAGTATATTCTGGAGCGGGACCGACAGAGTGGAGAATACAGGAAATACAGTGACTACAGCACCCAAGCCCACACCAACCAGATCCAGTCCATCCGCCGTGTCCAGCACTGAGCCAGGTCTCAGCAGCAAGATGTCTGACCCTCCTGCACACCTCCATCCCCCCACATGCCTGCCTTTGTGCCCGAGGGTCCACCTAACAGTAGAGCTATACCTAGTAGCCAATAAAGGCATTTACCAAACCCTGCTTTCTGTTTTGGTCATCTGTCAGTGCAAACCTCTGTGTTTGGGGTTGCTGGTTGGGGAGTGGTTGGCTTGTCCATTGGCACAGAATCCAAAGAAGCCAGGCAGAGTTCATCATCGAATGCAGCCTTCGATGAGAACTACGGGCAACTGTTGGCACTCCCATTGGTCCAGGCTTACTGAGGGGGTTGTCCATGGTCCCAGAGAATAAAGCCGGTCTTGGTTTGCTTTGGTGGTTCTAACCAGGGCCAGCCCAAACATAGAGGTGAAACAGGTGGTCACCTAGGACCCCAGGCTTTAAAGGGCATCCAATTAAATGGAGGATGATTTCCTTTCTGCACTTTTTACCATTATCCCTATTCTTCTTCTCTATATTGAATGTGGGTGGAGGGGATACACCAAAGCCATAGTTTGTGTAAGATAACAAAGTTTCCTGGGCCAGTCCTGGTTTTAACAGCATTCTGACGTGTGGGGATCAGCAGGATAAGCTTCTCGCAGCTTTACTGCCTGCTGCTGTCTGCACATTTCACTGCAGTTAAATGCACAGTTACTGTGGCCCGCTGAAAGGTTAGCCACCCTTGTTTGTAATATCTGTGTGCAGGCTTCCTTTTGCGGGTGGCATTCTTTCTCATATTAAATGTCCCATAAACAATGAAATACAAAGGATGCTATAAAAAATAAGCTGGAAGATCTGGGTCTATGTAGATCATATAAAGAGGTCAATGTGTGCAACCAGTTTAATTATCCCTGCTACTTGCACCAAAATGTGCCTGCTTGGCCATCTAAAGCAGTCTCTCCCAAGGTTTTCCCCTCCCCAACGGCCTGGCTTGTTCTTGTGCCTTTAAAAGCAGCTTGATCTGCGGGTGAGGCTTTTCAGTTGGCAACACCTGTGCATCTAGCAGCTGTTTAAAGGTGCAGCTTACAAAGGTTGGTTGACCAGTTGGTAACTATTCATGGAAACCCAAACTTGGAAATATGTGAAATATTCAAACTGAAATAGTCTTACAAAGCTCCAATCTGGGAAGAGCGAACAAAACCGCTGTCAGACTGAGCTGCCTTATATTTTTGCGGGTGATTAAAACACCTCACTGTGCCACAGTGTGATTGCCAAGGCTAAAGCAGATTCTTGAGGATGATAGATACTATGATCCCAAGCAGCCCCACTGGTGCTCAATAGGACTTATGTCTGGGTAACCATGCTTAGGATTGCGCTGAAACCCTAAAATGAGAAGTACAAGGACACAAGCCTTCCTGGAGGGCCTTACCCCTTATGCTAAATTTGTGGAAACATTAGAGTTACTTGGTCTATGGGAAGTAACATTAGAGTTACTTGGTCTATTCATATGTACTTTTAGAAGAAGAAGAGATTGAATTTATACTCCGCCCTTCACTACCCAAAGGAGTCTCAGAGCAACTTACAAACTCATTTCCCTTCCCCTCCCCACAACAGACACCCTGTGAGGTACGTGGGGCTGAGAGAGCTCTGAGAGAAACTGCTCTTTTTCAAGAACAGCTGTGCCAGAACTACGGCTTGCCCAAGGTCATCCTGCCAGGTGCAAGTGGAGGAGTGGGGAATCAAACCCGGTTCTCCCAGATTAGAGTCCGAGCACTTAACCACTGCACCAAACTGGCTTTTAGCTGCTTCTTTCATTTGAGCCAGATCTAAGTCAATCAATCTGTGAAAGAATTTAGAGGATCTTGAACTGGCAACCCTGGAGTTAGCAGTAATTTCTTTTTGCTTCCAAGCATGTTCAAACATTAGTTCTCAGGAACAAATTGAGATGTCATAGATTCTAGCAGCTAGCTTACCCATGTGGATTAATAATAAATGTGTTTGAAATGCCACCGCAGTTCTTTTCAATTTTGCAACAAGGTAAAAACAATCGAAACTCGGGCCTGGCCTCTGGTGGAAAGATCTTGGAAGACAATGGAAGAGTGTGTTTATTCCCTCCCCCCTCAATATCCTTCATGGTGTGACTTTGACATGACACTTGCACAGCTATGCCTGTGACTTGGTTGGAGCCCCTCCCTTCAGGGAAAATTTGCCAGACTCCACCTTCCAAGCTCAGCCACGCAGACACACCCGCCCAGAAATCCAGCAGGAAGCATTTTTCATTTGCAATGGGCAACCTCATTCTGGAGGGGATGGGGAAATGCAAACAGTCAGACCCAAGAAACAGACAGATCCCACTCCCAGTTAGTCACTAAATCAGCTTTCTCAGCTGATCCAGTCTACATTAATCTTTCCCACCCATATGGAGCAGGTGAAGGGAGATACATTAATTCCCACCAATGCTTGCAATCAGGGGTCATTTTGTAGAAAAAGGGGTGCAGGAGCTCATTAGCATAACTTATTTGCATATGCCACACTCCCTGACACCCACTGGAAGTGTGTCAGAAGGCAACACTCAGGCTCCACTGGACTGTTTTGGATTGCTAGCTATTGGGAGGGGGGGACGTGCAGATCTGTCCTCACAGAGGAGGGAGAGCTTGAGCCTGAATAAAACTTGGTCTTAAAAGTGCCACAGGACTGTTTTGAACCGGGGGCCGGGGGGGGGCTCTGCAACTTACCTGACTGCTTCTTGCTCTGACTGAGGGCTGCTGGGAGCAGGGGGTGGGGCTTGTTGCATGTGCCCGCCCCCTGGGCTCTTTACTGCCAGAGCTCTGCTCCTGTGCGCTCCTGCAGGAAATGACCCCTGAGTATTGCCATCATATATCTAATTTCAAGATCAAACATCTGCACAAGGAGCCAGGAACAGACAAGGGAGATCTCTCTACCAGTCTGAAGGAGGTCCTAGGTGTTGGACTGGATGGGCCTTTGGCCTGATCTGACATTGGCATTTCTTATGTTCTTATGTTCTTATGTACCCAAGGAAAGCCAGCTCCTTTCTGTGGAACTCGCACTTGGAAAGTTTAGGCGGTTCTCATAGAGGGCTTTCAAGACATCCTGCACCAACTCCCCTGAAAAAGAGGTAACTTTTTTGTTTGTGGATGCGGAAAAAGCATTTGACAATCTTAATTGGAAGTTTATGTTACAGATGATGGAAAAAATTGATACGGGACAACAGTTCAGAAATTGTATTGAAGCTATCTATTCGGAACAAAGAGCTACACTGAATGTAATCCCAGCGGGGTATTGAATGCTGTTTTTTGTGCTCATCCCCCTCCCTTATATGTACTCTGAAGTATGCATCTCTCAAATCTCGTTTGGTAAAGATCCAGCCCTGGGAGGCCTCAGTGAGCAAGTCTTTGATGAGGGGTAGGTGGCAGGCATTCGACATAGACACTGCATTCAACCCCTGGTAGTCCATGCACAGCCTCAACCTCCCATCTTTCTTTTTCCGGAATAACACTGGTGTGGTGAATGGGGAGGCTGCTGGGTGTATGAACCCCCTGGCCAGATTTTTATCAATGAACCGTCGTAGTTTCTCCTTCTCTGCTGGGATCATGGAATAGATTTTCCCTTTGGGCCTTTTATGCCCCAGCAGTATCTCAATTGCACAGTCAGTTTTATGATGAGGGGGTAGTCCGTCTGTCTCCTCCTCCTCAAAAACCCTGGCCAAGTCCCGGTATTCAGGCGGGATCAGATTTAACTCTTCCCATGCCAGGCACACGTGTTCAGCCATGGGGTGAGGCTCTTCTCCCCAGTCAGTGTTCCAGAGATGCTCCTTGCATCGGGGGTCTAGGAATGTCATAGTCCCTGTACTCCACTGGACATACGGATCGTGGGCTTGAAGCCACAGGCTCCCAAGCACCATAGAGAACATCACAGAAGGGTTTACTACAAAAGAGCATAGCTCCCAGTGAGATGCCACCCCCACTGGTAGGTGGACAGTGTGGTACCGGCAGGCCTCCCCCCTCATAGTATTTTCTTCCATTTGGGAAAATACTATGGGCTCCTGTAGTTTATGTACTTTGGCCCCCAAGTCCATGACTAAGTCCTGGGTACGTCCTGAATCAATAAGGGCTCTGACCCTAATACACGTCCCCCCCTCAGGATTGACTATGATCACAGTCAAATAGAAGAGGGGGGAGGAAGGTCTCATCATGTCTTACACCAGAGACTTTCGGACCTGCTGGTCAGCGCCCTTCAAAGCAGGTCCCGGCCTTTTCCTGCCAGCTGAGACACATCACTCTCACTGGAGGAGTTGCCCTTCACCTCATCTCTCGCTGCTGTTTGCAGAGCCTTGGGCAACTTGGGGCATTGGCTTGGGGTCTTGGGTCTTTTCTCCTTGGCTTCTTCCTTGCGTGCCTTCTCGGGGCTCTTACTTCCTGGGCAGTTTGTGGCGAAATGCCCCGGTGCTCTACATTTCAGGCAAAATCCCATGCACATCCATTGCTCTCAGTCACCTCTGGTCGTCGGGCCCCTTCCGCGCTGTGTCTTCGAGCTCCCGGATGCATTCCCCAGCATCTTTGCACCTGTTTTCTGCCTTGCAAGCCACTTGTATCCAGCGGCTGAGGGTCAGTGGGTTGTCTTGGGCCAGAGCCTGCTCCAAAATTGTGGTGTTCAGCCCGGTCCGGTAGAGCTCAATGAGAACCTCTTTAGGTTATCCCTGCAGTTTGGCAGTGTAGGTCTTAAACTCATCTGAGTACTTCTGCACTGACCGGCCCCCTTGTCTCAAGTCCCTGAGGTGAGTCTGTGCCTTCTCCAACTCCAGGGGGTCTTCATACTGGTGCCATAGTGCTTGCATGAAGGCATCCATGTTGTGCAGTTCAGGACCTCCAACGCTGTATAGGCCCACAAACCAGTCAGCCACCCGGTCTTGAAGTCGCGACCCCATGTAGTCCACACGATGTTCATTGGAGGTGAAGGTGTGGTCCCACTTTCTCAGGAACTTCTGCACCTGCAGCATGAAGAACGCCAGCTTCTC